GTGTTCATCAGACCCCAGAGTCAGGTGTCAGGAAGGGAGCCCCGGCCTTGTGGAGACGTCCAGTCAGTATAGACACACTGAACCTGCGAGGGGGCTGCCCGCGGCCTCCCACGTCACACTCGGCCTTCTGCCTCCTGCCCACCCTGGTCAGCTACTGTTTGTGTTCAGCCTGAGTGCCTCCAGCACGCTGGAAACAGGACAGCCTGTCATGACTCACTGATTTTCTCTCAATCCCTGTGACGAGCCAAATGAGCTGTTCGCCCCCACGTCCCTCCTGGTTTCCTGTGGGGTCGGTCTGGAATACTTCCCTGCACTCGGGATGCTGTCCTACTCCCTTGGGTGAAAGCCAGCTATCAGCTAAGGGACAATGAGAATATTAGTGATTTATTGCCTCTTCCTTTATCTTCCCTCTGCCCGCCCCAGTTGTCTTTCATTTTACATCTGGGTAGGGGAGGGGAAAAGGGCTTATTTTACAGAATGTGTTTAACCTTTAGGCCCCCATAGAATTTTCTAGAAAGAAGATAGAGCCAAGTAGTTGGAGAATCAAGGTGGTGGGTGTGTGGCCTGTCTGACGGAAAGGAGAGGGAGCGGTGCTGAGGAGCTGCCAAAAATACCTTGAGGGGGGTTGTCACCCCAGTGTCAGGTCTGGGCCGGGATGCCAGGGGTCCATTTGGTCCCTCAAAGGCAGTGGCAGCACAGGAGGCATTTTAGTGGAAGCTGGGGGTGGGGGTCGTGCCCCTTCCCTGTAACCCCAGTACAGCGCTGGAGAGGTCATCTGCCTGAAGCAAAAAGCAGTGAAAGGAAATTTGAAAAAAAAAAAATATATATATATATATTTTCCCCACAAATTCTGAATGGCTTGAGTGTGCAGAGGGTAAGTGGGAGAGGCTCTAGTTTGAAGAAGCCTGAGGTGAGGAGGGACTCCAGGCTCTGCGATGACATGGGGACCCTTAGGCCTTGGGCCCCGGGGGGCTCTGTGCGGGGCAGGTGGGTGCAGGCCGGGACCCACAGAATTACAGCCCCCTCGAGGCCACAGCTGCCCTCCGTGGCAAAAGGAATGCCTCGGACCCTGTTGGAGGCATTTGTGTTTTCCTTTTGAGAATTACCATCACAGGCCCTCAGAACAGTTGCATTTGAAAGGCAGACACGCAATTCTGGGTTACCCAAGCGTCTGGGTCTTCACTGGAAACAAGACACTCTGATCGCTCCCCTGCTTCATCTGATTTTTATCAGAAATGTATACATACAGAAATTTCCCCCCGTGGGCTGAGAAACTCTGCTGAGAAATTTTAGCCCAGAGTGTAATTAGCCTGGGAGAATTATCAGCAACGGAAAATAAAACTTGGTACCATAAAACATCTCAATTATGGCGACGGAGTCAGTTATTCACTCCTACCGTATGAGTAGGAGTGGGTAATGAACATGACCAACACCATCCCCTCCCAGTGTTGCTCAATACCGGGCTGTGGAGACTGCCTAGCTCCGCCTTTATTTTTGCTGGCGTGTCCTAGCACTGAAAGCACATTAAAGTAATCAAACCCTGCACTGAGGCATCCTCGGCGCTCCACCCCCTCCATGTGTTCCCCCGAACCCCTCATTTACAACAGACCGCGAGACGGGAAAGTGTTTTCAGAGCCATTTAAGATGAGGCAACACCGAGTATGTAAATCCTGCTTATTGGCGGCCAGGGTGGCTGGCTCATTCTCGAAAACGGACTCATTCTCGAAAAGGCCGGACAGCCTCCAGCCTGCTAGCCCCGCTGGCTTGCAATGGTCCTGTTTGGGGGCCACATGGGGGGGACGTGCAGAAGGCAGCTGTGACTTTCATCCCTGCCTTGGGAGCTCCTGGCGCCCTGGCCTGCAGGCCGCTGCGCCATCCTCCGGCCACCTGTCTCCGTCCCTGTTCCAGAAAGGAGCCTGTTGCCAAGTGTCTGTCTGCAGAGCTGGGTGGCAAAGGCAGGTTTTACTTTGAAAGGACGGATTGCTCCTAACCCCTTTATTCTTTCTGGAGAAGTAGTTTCTCCAGCATTCAGGAGGTGGCCTGAAGAACAATTTGGGGGTGGGGGGGACAGGCCCCTTCCCAGACCTCGAGTTCTTTGTCAAGATGAGCTTTCGTCGATGCCCGTCAATGCAGACACACACGGGCTCTGCGGGGATTTGGCCACATTTGGAATGAGTTATGACAGGATTCCCAAGGCTGCGGAGACAAGGGAGAAAGAGAAACACTTACCCCACTCTGCAGAAATTATCTTAGACTTGACTGTGCTTAGTGTAACCACTCTAAAAATAAGAGGTTTAGAAGCTGCCAGCAAGTCAGGACTGGCCAAAATATGTGGCTTTCTGTCCCTGTGCTTTTGGGGCCCCGCCCCCTCTTCTTGGCTTGATTCTGCCCCAACCTGCAGCAGTTAAGAAAGCACCGGGACTTAGGAGGGGTCCTTGCAGCCAGCCGCCTGAAGTTTTATGTACCTCAGCTCTGCTCTTGCTCCAGAATGGAGCGAGGAGGAGCCCCGGTGGCCTTCAGAATGGCTGGGAGGGGGTGGACCCTGGGGCAGGGGATGGCCTCAGGCGGCCAAGCAGGGTGCTGTTTCAGGGCCCATCTGCAGGGGAGTTGTAATGCCCACTCAGTGCGGGGGGAGGGGGGGTCCTGCCTGCCCACCTCCCCAACCCTCCAGCGCCGCCGGGAAGCTTCAGACTCCAGCTGGGGGAATCCTCAGCCCCTTCCCCCTGCTGGGTTGACAGGCCAGCACCTGCCTGGGCGGTGGGGTGGGGGTTGGAGAGTTGGAGGGGGTGGACGGCTGTGCAGCAAGGGCCTGGAGCTTCCAGGACTCTGAATCCAGTTCTCGAAGTGGGTTGGTGCCTCTTGATGTGCGTTAAATCCACCTTCACGGGTCTCTGGCCACCAGTGTGACATCACCTCGGAAGAGCTTGTTAAAAATTCATATTCCTGGGCCCCAGGCAAGACTTACTGAATCCAACTCCCTGCAGTGTTTTAATTCAGATTTTTACCTTTTTTCCCCTGAAGTCATGCAGTAACAGAACCCAAACCTAAGACTCTGCCGCTTGAATATACCTGTGTAGCCACCATGGAGATCAAGATCTAGAACATTTCTGCTACCAAGAAGCCTTCCCCCCATCCTTCCCGGATAATACTTGACTTTCCAGGGAACAACTGTTCTTCGGACTCTAGTCACCCAGAGAAGTTTGCCTGTGTCTGAACTCCTATGAGTTTGGTTTCTTTCTCTCAACAACTGTGTCTCTTGTGCCCCTCAGCGCTCCCTCCCGTCGGGCGTGGAAGTGGCGTGCTGTAGGGTTTATGCTTAACTTTGGTAGATGACAACCAAACACGTCTCCAGAGTATTTGTGTCATTTGCCCTCCGACTGCAGCGAAAGGCAGTGCGGTTGCTCTGCATTCTTGTCCACACTTGGTATCGTCAGAGCTTTTCGTTTTAGCTGTTTTGGGAGGTATGCTGTGGGATCTCTTTGTGGCTTTAATTTGCACTGCCCTGCTGCCGAACGATGTTAGGAACATTTTCCTGTGCTTATTGGCCATTTGGATGTGTCTTTTGTAAAAAGGCCGATCAAATCTTTTAAAAACTGAGGCTCTTTTACCCTCTTAGTTTCTAGGACATCTTATTATTAACAACCCCTCCAGGGGCGCCTGGGTGGCTCAGTCGTTAAGCATCTGCCTTCGGCTCAGGTCATGATCCCAGGGTCCTAGGATCGAGCCCCGCATCGGGCTCCTTGCTCTGCAGGAAGCCGGCTTCTCCCTCCCCCACTCCCCCTGCTTGTGTTCCTGCTCTTGCTCTTTCTCTCTGTCACATAAATAAAATCTTTAAAAAGAAAAAAACAAGAAAAAACAACTCCTTCAGGTGACTTAAGGACACTATCTCTCTGAAGGTCCAGTTTTCTTGGGATCTTTTCTCGCCTTTCTTCAGTTCCCAAGCCAGCAGCTCGCTTCCTGCCTCATGTCCTCTGAGGCCGGTTATAGACACGGTGCTTTCCCCTCCGGCTTCTCCTAACTATGTGCGGCTGGATTAATTGTGGCTGTTTCTGTCACTGAGGTCTGGCTGGGTGTGGTGCTTGCAGTCTGGAGATGTGAAGAGCATGTCCAAGCCACCTTCTTGCCTTTCCAGCAGCATCTTATTTGTGCCACAAGCTTGTCAGAGACATGAGGCTTGGGGGCAAGATGGCAGGAGAAAGAAACATTTGGGAGCTTCCTTAGTTGGCCTTGATTCTACTGCTCCATTTCCTAGGGGGTGTGTAGCCCCCCCTCTCCTCTCTTCCCCATCACCTGCCTTTCCCCTCTGCCAGGAGCCCACGAGAAGGACGTGTGTTTAGTATGGGTGTGTCTGTGTTCGGGGGAGCTGTGTGTGGATGTGACCTGCTTTGGGTCACCAGGGAGGAGTCACCCCCCCCAACACCAACTGTGTAATAATCCCCCTTCTCGGTACAAATGCCCCCCAGCTCTCCGCCACCCCATGAATCAGATGAGGGGACATCCAAGTTTTATAGCGTCCAGGGATCTAGGATGCAGATAAGGCAACCCTCTCATTCTGCAGACAGGCACCGCAGAGACCATGAGGGCTGGTGTCTCAGGGGGACAGTCTGCTGGGGTGTTTCTAAGCCTGCTCATCCTGGAAAGAGGTGTGTTGTTTCTGTAGAGGATCTCGAGACAGAGGGAGGGAAAGAGCATGTCTTGGGTAACAAAGGGAGTTCCCACTTGCCGATCTTTCCCTGTGCGGAAGCCGTGCAGAGGCCCAGTGTGGCAGGAAGTGGTGAGTGGTGGGAAGGAAGAAGGAAATGCTCGGTGCAGCCCGTCCCTGTGTTTCCCCCACCCTCACCCCAGTGGAGCTCAGCGGCTCAGTGAAATGGCCCCAGAAGGGTATTTACAGCGTCATGACCATTAACACAAATCTGTAACGGTTTTGTGCCGGCGCGGTGTGGAATCTGGCACTTACAATTGTGAGGCTGGCTCTGATAAGGATTCCTTTTTCCACTTAGGCTGGTTATGATGGTGAGAGTATTGGGAATTGCCCGTTTTCCCAGCGCCTCTTTATGATTCTCTGGCTAAAGGGCGTTATATTTAATGTGACAACAGTGGACCTGAAGAGGTAAGATGCACTATTGAAATAACTCTACTTGATTCCAGGCACACCCATTCATATCCACACCCAACTCACAGCCACACTCACACCCCACACTCATACCCCCCCACTCATGTAACACACCCACACATTCAAAACTCTCATGCACACACTCCTAGGACCCACGGGCGATATCATGGCACATCCATCCTCGGTCAGGACTCTGAACTGAAGCCCAAGTCTGGGCTCATCAGTAATGACAGGATCGGATCAGACATGATCAGGGAGGAGTTGGGGGCACCATAAGGAACCTGCTCCCCCCCACCCCGTTCAGCGGAGAACCTCTCAAAAGCCTGTGTGTGCAGATCTCCTGTGAGGACACTGGGGAGAGTTCACTTTCTCTCACCTCTGCATCCAGAGAAGAGCCACACTTTCGTTGTCAGTAGGACATTTTGTAAACCCACGATCACTTTTGACATTCTCAAGGGTTGCTCCTTGTAAACTGGGGTGGACCCGGCTAAGCTTTGGAAATGAGTCTACACCTTGCCAACTATTTACAAAAGCTGCTGTTCACTACCCTCCCCCCCCCTTTCCCCCAGGAAACCCGCAGACCTGCAAAATCTGGCTCCTGGAACAAACCCTCCCTTTATGACTTTTGATGGTGAAGTCAAGACGGATGTGAATAAGATCGAGGAGTTCTTAGAGGAGAAACTGGCTCCCCCGAGGTAGGCCTTATAAAACCAGCACTCACAACCTGATTGTCACTTTTCCCCCTTCACAGACAATTTGAAAGCTCCTGGCTTCGTGTATTTGGTTTTCCGTGGCCACGGCACTTAACTTCCTTTGCTGTACTGCGGTGTGCCACAGAAAACACAGAGCAAGATCAGAAGCCTTGAGTGATGATAGGCCTGGGTCTCTCTGCTTTGCACCTGCAGGTTGGCAATTACGGTTTGATGGCAGGAAGTGGGGAGGAGGTGGGTCGATGTCTAATGGGTCGGCCATTTCTTAGGTCCACTGCTGAAAGGTAAGGTGTGCATGTTACCATGGGATGTTGCAGAGTGCCGGACCTGGAAGAGAACCTTCTAGTGCACCACCTTCGTCTTACTTGAAAGGAAACTAAGACCAGCCGGGTCCAAGGTGTGCCAGGATGAGAACAGCAAGTGCTTTCTCCCTAGACTGTTGCTTCCAAAGCTTGGAGATAAAAAGATTAGGAAAACATTCAAGGGGGAAGTTTTTTTCTTTTATATCCTCTCAGAGAAAGACCTGTCTCCCCCACCGCCCACCTCGCCCCACTTGTATGAACCCAACTCAAACATTGCTTATCTGATACTCCAATCCTAAATTTTTCAAGGTACCCTAAGCTGGGGACCCAACACCCTGACTCTAACTTTGCCGGAAATGATGTGTTTGCCAAATTCTCCGCATTTATAAAAAACACCAAGAAGGATGCAAATGAGAGTGAGTACCTGCCATCTTCCTGTTCAGTGTTCTCCACTTGGACTGCCCCTTGCTCAGCCTCTGGTGTGGCTTCTAAGATCCTGGGAATTCTGACTGATGTCCCTGGGAGAAGGGACCTGTATCTAGAAATAAGGAAAAAGTACCTCTAGTGTTGAATTTGCATGTGGGTTTCAGGAGATCGAGATTGGGAGCCCAGAAAAGAACATTTTGAGGGGAAAAGAATCCCCACCAGGAATCGCCTGCTGCACCATGGGAATCAGTTTCAATGACGCTCTTGCCAGTGCGTACTTCCTTATGGGCTTCCCATAAATATTTTTGAATACGTGGATGAGTTCAAGAAGGAGCAGTGTTGTGTAGACAGCAGAATTATTTTCCAGGGATGAGTGAGTCCTTTATGCAGATCTTAGAAATCCACATCCTTCCCTCCAGTTCCCCGGTGCTGCCCAGCCATGTGCCATGAGGGAAAGGTGATTGACTCCTTCCTTGATATCTAGGGAAAGGTGACATTAACTCGTATGACTTATCTTAGTCATTTTCTGCCTTTGTGTTCTAGTTTATGAAAAGAACCTGTTGAAGGCCCTGAAGAAGCTGGATAATTACTTAAATAGCCCTTTGCCTGATGAAATCGATGCTTACAGCACTGAGGACGTCGCTGTTTCTGGAAGGAAGTTCCTGGATGGGGATGAGCTCACGTTAGCCGACTGTAACCTCTTACCCAAGCTTCACATTATAAAGGTTTGATGTTCCTCCTGCTGCAGGTGCTGAATACACGAATGGGGCTTTGTCTTATTTTGGCCAGACATCAAAACAATCTAAAATGCAGACTCCTGAATTAAAAAGTCAGTTTCTTTTTTTTTCCTCTTTGAGGCAGTCGAATCCCCAGTCTCAGATACATGGATATTCCCAGGTATTCTTCAGATGGTCTCAAGAAACATTTGGGAGCTTGGCTCTCACCCCTCCATCCTCACTGCTTCTTGTTCCAAGTCTTACCCCCACAGCCTAAAGAAAAGTTATGGCAAGACAACTTGAGGGCGACAGTGACTATACCCGGCATTTAATGTTTGAGGCTTGGAGACGATGCGCCGACTCTGGGAGTACGGCAGTGTGAATTCAGTCAGTTGTTGGTGATTGGCGGGGGAAATGGCTCTGCATAGGGATGACAGAGGTGTGTCTCCTCAGCTCTTAGTATTGACCCCCTATAGCTAGGGAGGAGCTCCTTGGCTGGGCCTCTGCCAGGTTTGGCATCATGTCTTCCCAGATAGTTGAATGGGAAGTCAGCATCATGCGTCATATATTTTAGGGTTTAAAGGCTCTCTAGACCACTGGTTCTCCAGCATTAGTAGGCATAAGAATTATTTGGGGAGCTTTTTAGAATTGTAAATCCCCCATCCAGCCTCTGGTCTCCTAAATCAGAACTTCTGGGGGTGACCCTGGGGGATTCCAAAGTAGATGGCCCTACACTTGGCCTCCGGAGTTATGGCTTGCTCTCAATGGTGCCCCCAGCCTTCACGTCACTTATAGGTGTTAATTGTTATCATTATTACAACTGCAATGTTCTTGGCCCTCAGTAGCCTTGAAGGCCCCAAGAAGAAGGCCAAGCCTTGTTCTGGGGCACTTTTATTTTTTTATTTATTTATTTTTTAAATTTTTTATTCTTATGTTAATCCCCATACATTACATCATTAGTTTTAGATGAAGTGTTCCATGATTCATTGTTTGTGCATAACACCCAGTGCTCCATGCAGAATGTGCCCTCCTCAATACCCACCACCAGGCTAACCCATCCTCCCAACCCCTCCCCTCTAGAACCCTGTTTGTTTTTCAGAGTCCATCGTCTCTCATGGTTTGTCTCCCCCTCTGATTTCCCCTGCTTCATTCTTCCCCTCCCGCTACCTTCTTCTTCTTCTTCTTTTTTTTTTTTTCTCAACATATATTGCATTATTTGTTTCAGAGGTACAGATCTGAGATTCAACAGTCTTGCACAATTCACAGCGCTTACCAGAGCACATACCCTCCCCAGTGTCTATCACCCAGTCACCCCATCCCTCCCACCCCACCCCCCACTCCAACAACCCTCAGTTTGATTTGACTCAACATAATACCCTCCAGTTCCATCCACATCGTTGCAAATGGCAAGATCTCATTCCTTTTGATGGCTGCATAATATTCCATTGTATATATATACCACATCTTCTTTATCCATTCATCTGTCGATGGACATCTTGGCTCTTTCCACAGTTTGGCTATTGTGGACATTGCTGCTATAAACATCGGGGTGCACGTACCCCTTCGGATCCCTACTTTTGTATCTTTGGGGTAAATACCCAGTACTGGGGCACTTTTATGATTAAAATTCCACCAAGTCCAAACCTAGGTCCTTGGTAGAAGGATAGGGGAGATGGGCAAGAAGGCACAGGGAAGTCCAAATCAAGGACCCGGTGGTCTAATAAAGCATGTCATTGGCATTTAGAAATTTACAAATTAGGCTCACCTAATCTGTGTTGCTGATACTCTTACAGGCTACCAGCTACCCCTGGTTGCTCCTCATCATTGCCTTGCCTTTCGTTTCTGCATTTCATCTTCCTTCCCGATTCCTTTCCCAATCCTTGCCCCATTTCTCCTCTTCTCTCTTCCCCAGTGTGCTTGAAGGATACTAGCTTGAAATCCAAGCCTTGAAGATGTGTCTGAGCCCTCAAGTGAATGTTGTTTTCAATAACTTTGCCAGTTTCCCAACATCTAAAATGTAATGAAAGCATTTCAACTCATCAAAACCTCCTATGTTTGGGAGCCATTTTTCAACAAGATATTTATGTAGCTGTGGGTGGTTTAGTTCCTTCAGTGGATGTGTTGTAGTCATTGCCATGACCATTATATGGTCATGGAGGTTGGGGAAGGGGTACATGGAGGTTGGGGAAGAGCAAGAGAAATGCCCCAGCCATACACCATCAATTGCCACTTGTTTAGCTCCTATAAGAAAAGAGTTTTTTAAATTTCAGTAGATGGGGTAAACTTCAGAGTAAAATAACGCAGTCCCTGGCTCCAATATAAGACCGGAGAGCAAATTCTTCAAAGCCACCGAGCACTCAAAATGCCAAACAACTTAATAGTCTTTCAGAATGGAGCACCTTCGGAAGGGAAATGAGACTCGGTCTAAAGGAATTTATGATAAAAGATGAGAGAGTAAAGGAATTTATAAACCCACCATATGAATGATATAATAATTTGAATGATGTATAATTTATGATATTTATGATATGAATTTATGATAAAAGATAAAAGATGAGAGAGTAAAGGAATTTATAAACCCACCGAAAACAATATGAAAAAATAGAGTAAAGCTTCATCTCTCATAAAACCAGAAAAGGACAGAATACCAATTCGAAGACGAAGAAACTTTGTCTGGTGTGTGGTGTCACAGAACCAATGCACGCTTCCCTGTATGTTCAGCAAAGTTCAGATTTCTATAAAAGTAAATAGTACAGTCCTGAAATGCCCAACACCAAACTTCTTTGAGGACTGGGGCCATGAGAGGAGAATCCGGGAACAGCCCCACACAGATCACTTTTGGGCTGAGGTCTCTGGGGAGGGAGAGTTGAAGGAGGAACCATACAGAGGCGCCATCTTTGTATTCTGGCACCTGTCCCTTAATCTGAAGGAACAGGGAGGGGAAGTGGAGGGAAGTGATGTGGCATTCTGCTTTGTGGCTGCTGAGTAGAGAAAAGAAGCAGTCCTTGAACCAGTCAAGAGAGAGACTGTAAATTGCTTGGGCTTCATTTTTAGCCATGGTGACCTCTTGTCTAATCTGTGAGCCTCAGAGTGGAGGATGCTCTAACCCTAAACTTGACTTTTTGCAAACAAAAGGAAAGCAGAATTCTTTTTTTTTAAATTTTTTTTGAGATATTTAATTTTTTTTATTATTATTATTTTTTATTCTTATGTTAATCCCCATACATTACATCATTAGTTTTAGATGAAGTGTTCCATGATTCATTGTTTGTGCATAACACCCAGTGCTCCATGCAGAATGTGCCCTCCTCAATACCCATCACCAGGCTAACCCGTCCTCCCACCCCCCTCCCCTCTAGAACCCTGTTTGTTTTTCAGAGTCCATCGTCTCTCATGGTTCGTCTACCCCTCCGATTTCCCCCGCTTCATTCTTCCCCTCCCGCTACCTTCTTCTTCTTCTTTTTTTTTTTTAACATATATTGCATTATTTGTTTCAGAGGTACAGATCTGAGATTCAACAGTCTTGCACAATTCACCCTGCTTACCAGAGCACATACCCTCCCCAGTGTCTATCACCCAGTCACCCCATCCCTCCCACCCCACCCCCCACTCCAGCAACCCTCAGTTTGTTTCCTGAGATTAAGAATTCCTCATATCAGTGAGGTCATATGATACATGTCTTTCTCTTTTTGACTTATTTCGCTCAACATAATACCCTCCAGTTCCATCCACGTCGTTGCAAATGGCAAGATCTCATTCCTTTTGATGGCTGCATAATATTCCATTGTATATATATACCACATCTTCTTTATCCATTCATCTGTCGATGGACATCTTGGCTCAGGAAAGCAGAATTCTTAACATTAATAGCAGTAAGGTTGAATTAAGGTAAAAGAGGTCAAACAATTTAGGAGGGTTTCTGACAATGGTATTGTCTTGTTTTGCTGCATCAGTGGCTTCTGGCCTGCAAGATCTGAGTGATAGGTCCCAAAGATCTTCTAGTTTGTGTTGTCCCATGTTCACTTCATCCAGACAACCCAGAAACCAATGCAATAGGAGGCAACAAAGCAGAACTGACCTTTGTAGTCCTGGGTCCCTGTTAGGGGATGAATTGCATCCCCCCAAATTCGTATGTTGAAGTCCAAATCCCTAGTACCTCAGAACATGACCTTATTTGGAAATAGGATCTTTGCAAATGTAATTAGTTAAGATGGGTTGTATTGGCGTAGGGTGGGCCCCCAATCCAATAGGACTGGTGTCCTTATAAAAAAAGGAAATTTGGACACAGACACACACATAGGGAGAATGCCATGTGAGGATTGCTGTTATGCTGCTGCAAGTCAAGAAACTCCCAGAACCTGGGGAGAGAACAGATCTTTCCCTAGAGCTCCCAGAGGGAATGTGTCCTGCTGACACCTTTATCTTGGAATTCTAGCTTCCAGGACTGCGAGAAAATAAATTTCTGTTCTAAGCCACCCAGGTTATAGTACTTTGTTACAGCAGCCCCAGGAACCTGATAAAGTGCCCAACAGAATATATTGTCCTTTCTGACAAATTCCTCACTGACGCCCCTCCAGCCAAAGGAAACATCTCACACTGTTGTGTTTCCCATGAAGTTCACTCTCAATTGCCCTGTCCTCACATCCACCATTTCCATGAGGATAAGAATTTGTGTTCCTTTGTTGACAATGAGGTGAGCTCTTCAGTGACAGAATGATGGAAATCTGTAGGAATAATATACACAGATATCTGGGATTTTTTTTTTTTTTTTTATATCTGGGATTTTAGGAGGTGAAGCTCAGCAAGTAGGAAAAAGAGAGCACTTCACAGTGAATCAGGCACAGTCTAAACTAAAGATCCTCATGAGGGCGCCTGGGTGGCTCAGTTGGTTAAGCGACTGCCTTCGGCTCAGGTCATGATCCTGGAGTCCCGGGATCGAGTCCCGCATCAGGCTCCCTGCTCGGCAGGGAGTCTGCTTCTCCCTCTCCCACTCCCCGTTTGTGTTCCCTCTCTCGCTGTGTCTTTCTCTGTCAAATAAATAAATAAAATCTTTAAAAAAAAAAAAAAAAGATCCTCATGAATCTTTAGGCACCAAATAACACAGCAGCAGAACACACAAAGCCCGAACTGCTGGCAAGACAAGGAGAAGTCCACCAAAGTAGAGACCAAATTCATGCCAGTGGATCCCAAGATCTATCTAAGATAAATGGGCAGGATTGTGTGGAGCCACTCTGGAGCCCAGTACTTTCATGAACTTTCCTGTTGCAAAGTTGAAGTGAAATTTGGGGTCGCCTGGCTGGCTGTAAGAAGAATACTTCAGGACTTGAGAAAGAGGATATATTACACACCTTAAAAGAGTGGATTGTCTGATCTAATTGTCTACATTAGTGGGCTTTTCCTTTGCTGATTATTTCCTCTTGATTTTCAGATCGTGGCCAAGAGATACAGAGATTTTGAATTTCCTTCTGAAATGACTGGCATCTGGAGATACTTGAACAATGCTTATGCTAGGGATGAGTTCACGAATACATGTCCAGCTGACCAGGAGATTGAACATGCATATTCAGATGTTGCAAAAAGAATGAAGTGAAGCCAGAGTGTTTTCAGTCTTATTTCTCGGCTGTATGAACTAGGCTATGATGAGAGTGTGTTCTTTGTGAGTGTGTACTTTGTATTCCTTCCAAAAACCATAATGCCCATATTTTAATAATACTGTATCATAGTGAGAGCCACTGAACACCAAATGGTACATGGCCTTGTGATTTGTCAACTCACTTGTATAACTGAATAATACCAATATCTATTGTGACATCCACCACTTGTCCAATTGACTTCTTAATTTACTTCTTTGGCATTCACGGACCCTGTAAACCATGATATTAGGACATGTGCTTTGCAGTTTAAGTTTCAAGACAAATTAGATTTGAGTTCAATTCCTCCTTCAATTAAAAAAAATTCATCTGTCTCTGATAGTTTTCATAATCATCATATACAGCTTATTTTTCTCCTCTAAAATAGTTTTTTTTTACAGAACTAAAATACTGTTTTTATAGTCACAAGATGATTACATGCCTATTTTAATATTTTAAAACAATGTGAGAGACTATAAGGAAGAAAAAAAAACCACTACCTAAAATTTCACTCCACCTAGATAATTGCCGGTAACTTATTGGTGAACATCTTCTCCTTCCTTAGTCTCTCACAGACGTTCACATTGCACACATCTCCATTCCTATGAAATCAGTGAGGGGGCCTGTGGGTGAAGCCTTGATGATCATCCATAGAGGATCCAAAAAGATCCGGCACTGCAGAGCTAGAGGCTGCTTGCGATCAGGTTTCACAGGTGGAGAACTGGAGTCCACAGATCCGCAGGGACCTGCAGGGACCACAGGGCCTGGGAGCTATAGGAGGTCCCCTCTCTGCCTCGTTACCACCTTGGTGATGGCAGCTGTCTCTGGATCCCAGCGCACATGGCCTTTTGTTCCAGCTTCCTTTTGGATGCCTTCTCTCACTCCCTCCCCTCTCATGAGACCATGCCTTCCTGTGGATGCTCAACATCAGCTGCATGTTGGAGGATCCTCCTGTCTTGTGGTGAAATGTGAACCAAGCACACTTTGATTCCTTCTAAGGGCTGCCCTCTCTAAGACCCAGCGCTGCGCTTCTTCAACGATGATGGGGTGTGGGACTAGCCTGGTTCTTGTTGCTTCTCTGGTCAGGCAGGGAAATTCCAGGGGGATTGAATTCATGGTGACTACTCTTGGGCAGTTCTGGTAACCAGTTAAGTTGGGGAGGAAGTGGAAACTCAGGCTCGAGAGTTTTCTGGTTTGTCTGTGGCTTCCCTGCCACCTCGCCCTACAGCCAGCCTCTCGTCTATAGTGCGTCTGGGCTGGGCAGCCGGGCTCCAGCTGAAGGCACGGGAGACGGTGTAGAAGGCTGTGTAGATACGCATCACGACCCTTCTGGGTTTGAGCATTCTCGAGCATTCTCGGGGCTGCGTTCCTTTGACGTTTACATACATCTTATAGAAACCCTCTTGTCCATTTGGTGGTAGCCTTTGGTTGATGCTAAATGCTCATTTAAAAAAAATATGCATTTGCTCCATGGGCATTTATTTGGAAAAGAATTTATTGCATTTTTTGGAAAAGAATGAGATGTGGGGCGCCTGGGTGGCTCAATCGGTTGAACATCTGACTCTTGGTTTCTGCTCCAGTCCTGATCTCAAGGTCGTGAGATGGAGCCCCGCATCAGGCTCTGCGCTCAGCAAGGAGTCTGCTTGAGATTCTCTCTCCTTCTCCCTCTGCCCCTCATGCTTGTGCTCTCTCTCTCTGTCTAAAATAAATAAGTAAATCTTAAAAAAATAAAAATAAAAAGCACTAACAGCAACTCTTCTGGGATTTAGTGAGAAATGTCCAGTAAGAGAAACAAAGTCCACTATATAGTGGCTACTTTGTATTCCCTCTTACTGGAGGCTCCAGTTTCATGCAGGGGCTGCCCACCCAGCAGTCTGCTCTCTTTGTTAACTCTTTACATTTTTGGAGGTTATGTCTAGCATTCCCCATCATGCATGTTTCACATCTGTTTTGGAGTCAGATTTTCAAGTCTCTTGTTATAATGGTACATCTACACGTGGTCAATGAATAGACTACCACTTGTTACTAGTGCGAACTTTGTATTTTTAGATGTTGACATGATCTACATAAACTCTGTGTGCCATAAAAATTAAACGCATAAAGATGTTTACACGAAACCAAGATCTTTAATTTTTTTCCACATTCCCTTCCTCACTTAGATTTAAAGGAATAAAATGAACAGAAATGGCTTCCTTTAAAACAACAAGAGCAATGTCGAAGCAGGGATTATTGGTAATTGAGTTAGAAATAACCCGTATTTGAATTGTGAGCCACAAAGACATTTTAATGGAGACTTAAAAGAGGTCAGAAAAGACCTGTCCTTGTGTGACCTGTCGTTGTCCAGGTGGCTACAGTAGAGGTCATCAGACTGTTTTTTTCAGTTTTCAGTGTGGTTGTAGGCAAGTGGGTGGTCCCTGGCCAGCCTTACCCTGGGGTCCCACCCTTACACCCTGTTCACGGGCCCCTAAAAGGCTATTCCTTTGGCGAAGGCAAGAAATATTCCAGGGCTGTTCACTGGCTTGAAGTCTTTATTACAGCACGGGTCTTGAAACAAAATGTGTTTGTTCTTCAAAACATACTGTATAGGATGCAAATACGGACACTCAGTGAATGAATCCCCGCTTTGAGGCTGGCTGAGTTTTCTCCAGGTGGAGAGGATCCCATTCTCACTTCTGGTTGCCCAAGAGGCCCTACAATTAGAAAAAAGAAAAAAATCAGCTTTTCTTCTCAACACAGAAGGCTGTGTTCCAACCTGTAGGCTGGAATGGATACAGGAGTGTCGCAAAATTATACTTTCTGGGTACTGGCCAGGGATTGGGGATGGAATGAGGACATTCAGTCCAGGAAAGGGATTCTAGAGACCAGAGGTCTCAAGAGGTAATTTTTGATCTACAGGGTCCATCTCCAGGCATTGAATGTATGCCCAAGCCCTCTAGACAGACAGACACACATACTCACGGACGTACACACAGAGACTCACACAATCACACACACACAGAAACATGTTCACATATAACGCTGTTCCAAGCACAATCACACAGACACACATATAACGCAATATGCTCACACATAGGCACACACTCACATACCTACACACACTGTGGGTGAGGTCAACATTGTTCCCTTTCATGTGTCCTTCAGTCAGTGACCATAACATCTCTTATTACCCATGCCTCACTCCCCACTCCAGTGGTTCATAATTAGGCTTTGGAAGAGTTTTAAAAGAATGTCTTTTTTTTTAAGTAAGAAAAATCCACCATTTATTTTACAGTTAAGAGAACCCAGGCGTGCATCATGCCGAGAATATATAATTCACAGAACCCTGGATACATACAATGGATACATTGGGATACATTTGTTTGCATTCCAAAATAATTTCTCTTTCCACAGAGAGCTTTAATTCTGAGTTTTTCGATATGGTCGGTTCCCCTCCAGACATTTACATTTTGGTCTAATGTGTTACCACATTTCAGGGCATGGCCACTTGATAAGAGCAGATGCACGCGTGTGGCCCCTGCTCCCAGAGGGACTGTCGATCACTGCGACTCGAGGTGGCGTTTGCAGGTCAGGGGGACCCTGCTGCTGCCTGCCTGTGTGCTCAGGGACCCGGTGGGGCAGCTGCTTGCCTCTGTAGCCTGTGCCCTGACAATGTCATTTTCCCCATCACGGAGGGTTTGTGCCGAGTCTCTGATGACCTTTGCCCTGGAGAAGGCCGTTGAGTCAGGGAGCGACCCCAGAGCTGCGGTTTTGGGGTCCCTGTCACCGTCCAGGGGAAATTGTGTTCAAGAGCGGGGAGTTGCAGATTTGGGGGTGAAAGGCATCTATTTAGGAAGTTAGGCCTGGCAATGGGCCACCCGTGGCCCAGTGATTGGGGATGGGGATCTTATTCCACCTGCTGTTCATTTCTTCCCTTTCAGGGACACTGTCCACATTGTCCTGTCTCAGTGCCTCTCCTGCGGCGCCTGAGCATTTAGGGGTCCTAACAACCCTCTGGAAGAGAGGCCAGTTTCTGGATGACACTCCACTCCCATCTCTTTCTCCCTCCACTTCTGTAATGGGTTCCCTGCTGTCCTCCTGGGGGGGGGGTGGACAAGGACAGTGGCCATCAGTGACTGGCCTGGCGTTACCCACGAGTCCGCTGACCTGCTGCTGGACTCCGTCCCCTGCAAAGCTGCCTTTCCAGGGCCTAATGCTTGGGAACCTGAGTCAGGCCCCTTTCTGAGCCCCAGCCTTCGGCTACCAAATACCTCACCAACACCACAGGGAGTCCTGGGAAGCCGGTAAAGCGTACACATCCCTTCAGGGTCCAGGATAATCGTACCCGGAAGAGGGTAATGGCCATTGCTCAGAACATTCCTTGGTTTTGTAAAAGGGAGTTCAAATAGCATTAGGGTTTTTGTTTGCTTGCCTGCTCTTCCCTTATCTGGCATTAAGTGCTAACAAATTAAACCTGTTACTAGCCTCTTCCCTATGAGGACCTTTGAAACAACGGGGATGTGAAAACAAACTGGGGGTTCTAGAGGGGAGAGGGGTGGGAGGATGGGTTGGCCTGGTGATGGGTATTGAAGAGGGCACGTACTGCATGGAGCACTGGGTGTTATACGCAAATAATGAATCATGGAACAGTACATCAAAAACTAATGATGTAATGTATGGTGATTAACATAACATAATAAAATAAAATAAATAAATAAATAAATAAATATACAGAAAAAAAAAATAAACCAAAAACCAAACAACAGCAGACACTGGGTCCTAAGTCTGCCCTCGATGCCTCTGACACGTCTGAGTAATCATTTAATCTCTCCGAGCCTTGCTCTTCTCATCTGGAAAATGGGAACACTATCTCATGGTCAGGTAGAAATCGGTGTACTTAGCAGTTCTCTGTGGCTGGGGGCACACATGTGGTTTTTGCCTGTATTTGCACTTCTTATATGGGTCGTGTCAAAATGGACAGGTTTACAGGACCATGAACTTTTCTCCGGAAGTGGAAGGCAGTTAAACCCTGACCTCCTGTTTCCCCGCCATGAAGCACCTCCTGGGGGATGGCGGCCGCTAAGTGCTCCGCTGTCCCCTCTGGTGGGGTCTCTGTGGGCGGGACCAGTCATCTGTCACGCATCCTGTGAACGGACAGGCTCCACAGTGGACCGATGCCTCCATCGGGACCCCTCCCATCTGGCTTGGAGACACGGTTTTCAGTTGTGTGACACGTACTGGAGGCTCGGAGACGTGGGAAAGCAGATGCGTCAATGTGAGTGGTGTTCGAGCCAGAGCCCGAGGCCCCCGGGGCCCAGCTGTCCTTCTCCCCACTACGTGGCCCTTCCTTCCATTCCCTGAGGTGCGGGGGCGTCACCCCACCTTCCGCAGGTAGCAGTTGGCTTGGCAACAACACCCCCCGCCGCCGCCCCACCAGGCCTGATGCCGATTCAGCTTCAGGGCTTCATACAAACCCAATCCAGCCTCCTTGGTGTCGTTCAAGGTCAGCCCACTTGTCAGAGGGTGGCTTTTCAGGGCCAGAGAAGCAAAGCCTAAAATGCTCCCGCTGGTCTCAGCCCACTTCCAGAAGGCCCCCACCCAAGCCGGGCTGTATTTCCTGATGGGCTGCCGGCTGTCCCTGGTGGGGCTCCCACTCTCTCCTGTG